TTGTGATGTGGAAGTCAGGAGAGCCAATGGGTAGGGACGGTCCTAGATATGTCTATGCCTGTTCTCCTCCCACGAGGGTTAGAAGAAGAGAAATCATTGACCCAGCACACCGTGATTCCTCAGTATAGATGACATTGATTTGTCACATGAAACAAAATAACAAATTAAAATTCCTCAAAAAAAAAAAAAAAAATTAAAATGTATAATGGGGTTTTTCAGGAATCAAAACTGCTTATGTGAAGCAGCTAGACAGTGTTTCTATGTTGGCGAAGAAATGTGAAATGATCCCGATCGAATGGGTCACAAGGAGAGTTGCAACCGGTTCCTACATAAGAAGATTTCCAGGAGTACAGGACGGTCATAAATTCACCCCGCCTCTGCAAGAGACCTTTTTCAAGGTAGCCTATTACTTTTGATCATATTGATTAAACCTTGACTCTGTCTGTGCAGGCCCGGAAAAAGGGCATATTTTTTTACAGATGAAAAATAATGGGGATGTGGATCACTTTTATTCGAAATGATTACTCAGAACAACATCGTGCTCGTGGTTGGATCATAGTGTAAAAGCTGTGTGCGAGAGCCATCACCATGTTGTCCTTAGACATTTTGTTTCCAGTAAAAGTGATGAATTCTCTCATTCTGATTCATTGCGCGAGATAAAGTGCTTCTTCTTGGGGAATCGGGGGAAGTTATGCGAAGTTGGAACTTGTGGAGGGGAAGGGGGGTTGCGGTTGCACCCCCCCTCCCCTTTCAAGGAATTCTATGTGTCCCTTTTCAGAAAATGTAAGGGCTTTTTCATAATGACCCGTGGTTTTTTGTCAAATTTGAAAATATTTCCGATAAAATTTTTTCGGCAGAAACAGCTTAAAGCTACTTCCTGGCCGTATCAGTTTTCAAAATTATTCTCACGAGGCCTCCGAACCCCCTCAAAGCTGAGGTGTGCCCCCAAGCCCCCCTTTTTCAGTTTCCTTTTTATGCCTTCCTAGATTCCTCTTGATGAGATGCCCCATCCACAAACAATTGCTAATTCTGCCTACATGTAACATCCAAATCTGCTTCGAAGAGATTCTGTAGATTCGATGTTTGATCTAACAGCACCGAATATATCATGGAAAATACTACAGGTGAAGTGTCTATTATGTAACGAACTTTATCAATTTCCTGACGTGGATCGGGCAAAGGGTAACATACGTAACACTGTATCTCCATGGACCAATTAGGCTTAAAATGGCACATTGTCAGCTTTCCATGTGCGAAATCGCGACTGCTAGGGATGCTTTTCAATTTCTGCCAAGTACACCAGCTACAGAGATTTTTCGATGATTCATATCGATAAGCAAACCCTATGGCAACGGTGGTCAGGAAAACATAAAGTATTTTAGCAGAACTTGGTGCATCGCTAATACTGCAGTATAATATGCGTGTGAGAAATGAATCATATTATGCATCTCAAAATGTCACAATGCGCGGGGCAGTATTCAGAATCGTACATATAACACCTTTTGCGGGCTGATTATTGAAACTGATAGACAAAGTCATAGACAAAGAAGATACAGAAAAAATGGAGCGATCCTATTGTTTGAAATGAGTAGTTCTTACGGACTAAGAGAGAAAATGATGGACTAACTACAGAGCCTTTCGTGGGTCGCCGTTAGTTAGTCTATTACTCAACTCCTTTGCCCATTGCAGCCATCCGGTTCCATCAATAGGATCCCTCCATATCCCTTTTTGTCTTCTTTGTCTATAGCTTTGTCTATCAATTTCAACAATCAGCCCGCTGCCTTGGATTGTTGAATCGTTATCGAATGACCTTGATTGATAGACAGCATTGCCAAAATAGAGATTTATCGATCAAGTCTATTCGATATCGATTCAACAATCGACTCGCCCCTCAAATGGTTTAAATTGAGATAAAAGGGAGGTTTGAGGAGGCCTTTAAAATAACGGCATGAGAAGGTAAATTTTCTCTAACTTCAAGTAAAATTCAAATGTATGATTTTTAAAATAGACTCTTACAGAGGATTAAAATGATTTGCTATACCGCGCTTTAACATACAAGATTTAGAGGTTGTAATGTTTAGAAATTTTAAAGCATTTAGATATGCCTAACCCGCAGTAATTTTCGTCGTGTATTTTGTAGTGGCCGATCGTTGTAATCCCTTCCCGAAGTTGTAATGTAGAAGAGAATTTGCAGGTGTCTTAAATTGTGTGTATTTTATCTTTGAAATGATACTGCCAGGAAAACTAAGTACCTACGAGGATATCCTTAGTCTCTAAATTGGACAATTATTGGAGAAAATATGACAAAATAGCGTAACCTGCTAAAATACATGTTTAACTGGAAAATGCCGATGATATCACAAGGTGGCAAATTTTTTCACTTTTTAATCTATTTTTCTCCGATTTCCCATATCAGAAAAAAATTATGAAAAACACTGCGAACTCGGCTCATTAGGCACTCTTAGATGAAGCAATAAAATTGTTGTGTGCAAATTCTCCGTTTGTGAAATGATAGAAACTGTGAAACTATCGCCATTGGTTTCGGGGACCAGCATTCAACTAACCCGATGGGAACATTTTGGTTTACAGGACGATGCTAATCATGATCCATTCTGGCCTCATCACCAAATAGTCTCAGCTAATTTCAAATTTAACGGATTGACCATTGGGAAAGGTGAAGTTGAAATTATGAAACGAACATCGATTACTATCTTTGAAGTACTCGAAAAAGCGTGGGCGACCCGAGACTGCACTCTCATTGATATGAAAATCGAATTCGGTGTTGATCAAAATGGTACGTTCATCTTGTAACCATTTCTTTTTTTCGATTTTTTGCCGAATAATGTCACTCGCCCTCATCTTACCATTAAATAGTCTTTCATCTATATGTCGAAGGCAGCTAGTCAAATCAGGCATTTTATCAAATGCCTTGGCCAGTTGTCAAATTCTGACAGTTTACGGAATTCTGTAAATTTATGGAGCGGAGTTCACGAGTTTTCGATATTTTGAGAGGAATAACCCTTCAAATCCGCCAGTTCTCCTGGCTCTTGCCTTTTCACACGCCTTTAGTACTTTTAAGTGTTAAAATTTTAAAAATTCTATGTTTTATTACATGCTGAAACTTTTATGATAAGTGTGCATTCAGGATCTTAAATTCGTTTAAAATTCTATTGTATGCTGCATATTTTTACAGAAAATTCTTTCATACAGGAGCAAAAACTTATCTAAAATTAGGGTGAAGAATTAAAATTTCAATCTCAGTAAGAATGTTCAACTATTTGCCGAGGCATTGGACAAAATGCCTGATTTGACTAATTTCCTTCGACATATATATCTTGACTCTCTCCAGTCTTCGTAATGAAGCCCGCCGCACAACGAAACGAGCCTTTCAGAAAGGTTGGACATGAAATTTTCAACTAAAACTGTAAATCTTGAATCTTGATGGTAATTTCTTCACACGGGTGCCTCTGGAAGGATGGTTTCAGGACATTTTGTCAACGATTTTTTGTCCGCGCACCTTTTTTGTCCAGTAGTTTACGCCCACACGTTAAATAAGCAACGGTGACTTGGTTCAAGCTTCATATTTTAGTCGGTATGTAAAATTAGGTATATTGACAATATGGAAATGAGAAATTGAGAGAGAAGGAGGTATTGTTATGGTTGCTCATTTTCTGAATGAAATGTTATTACTTTCTCCTTTTGAATCATCTTTTTAAATTGTCATTGGTGAATATTTGGTTTTATTTCTATCCTTAAAATATTGAATGTACAATATACCTTATATATGTATAGGTACTTTTTTTTATTTTTTCTTTGCGAAATCATTACTTCATTTTGAAAACATTTATACTTTTAAAACGAGACAAATATTTGTAAAACCTTTTCCAAGCGACATTATAATCTCAATAAGCCGCAGATGTGCCGACAGAAAATGCAAAAATGAATTAAAGAGGGGAAAAAACCAAGAAGCTTGCAATATCTAGTTTTAACCCATGTGTACATCGATCTTTTAGAGTCAAATACGTCAAATTTTGAGCGTTTGGTTGCGCTTACACCTCGCTGCAGGACAATAAAAGCACAAAATGTAAAAGAAAAAATTAAAGTGCTTTGGAAATCATTAAATTTGACACGGAACCACCAATATTTAAAACACTCACATTATATTATTCTCCTTTGATAAATTGATACATATTTTTTTCCCATCAATTTAAATGAGAATAATCAATGCAGATTGTGCAAACATTCAAAATCCTGAGTTAAAAAAGGCTGACTACGCGAGTATAAATATTAAAGCCTAAGAAAGCGGAGCGGCGTGCTGCCAGCGCGAGAGACTCACTGGCGCCTACAAACCTAAGTGGATACTTCACGCATTGCACAATGCTTGAAGTATCCACTTAGGTTTGTAGGCGCCAAAGCGCGTTCCGCGCTGGCCGCCTGCCCGCCGTGCGGCGACGCCTGGAGCAACTGTTTCACAACAGAGGTGTTGCACAGTATTAAACGAAATTGAACGTATTAAGAATGACAGGTAACCTTTAAAAGTACAGATCATTCCTCGAAAAATAAATCAAGATACCTACTTATCGTACACTGGAAAAATCTAAGAGCCTTTAGCTGAGGCAAATATAGAGGTTTATCTGGTTCAGGTATAACAAGGTGGGAAAATCTTGAAAGATAATTAAGTCCTGTAATTCGAGGTGTAGAGAGTTTTAGTGAATTTTTATCTCATGGAATTGACGCTCCCCCATTTTTACCAAAACTCTCAACTATATACTATTCCCCGTTGGACCAAACAGACAAAACAAAAAAACAAGCAAACCCTCATTCTTCCAAGACATTTTACATTTTCATCCAAAAACGTTGTGAGCAATTGTCGTTTGTATTTACATGTAGGCCAATTAACTTTGGGTCTCAACTGGCACGTGGACCAAAACTCTCGTGCGGAAAAAATGCGTGGACGTAAATTACTGGAAAAAACAGGTGCGCGGACAAAACATCGTTGACGAAATGTCCTATAATCGGAAGAAAATTTCACGAGAAAATTAATGAAACCTATTTCTAAAACCGGTACACTCCAATAACATCGATATGATCATTTAATGTTTCCACATTTTGCCCGACTTCTCTCATTGCCCAATGAAGGCCGCTGGTGATGCGGTTGGCGTCCAAACTCAAAACGCCTTCACTTTTGTGCGTATGCAACACGGACATCCATGGAGCCCTAATAGTTGCATTCACATAGGCGAAAAATGAAATCCGTTTAGTATCCGTCGCTTGCGGCACTATGTGAAGCTTTGATTGTCTCACTAACACCTTGACTTAATTGTGTACTGTGATGATAAAGTAAACCATCACTGATTTTTATCGCGACCTTGTGATTTTTCCGATAAATGCATTATTAAAAGCACAATAATGTTTGGTAAATATATTAGCAAAAATAGTAAAAATTACATTTAGTCTCGTTCTTTCCCTCCTGTAATGAGGGTTCCATCTAGTTTGCTTTTAATAATTTTTAAAATTAATGTTAGATATCTTTCGATACACTACCTGAGTCTCTTAAGTTTATCACAATTTTTCTTTAGTTACTTTTTGATACACATTTTGCTTTGTAGTATTGCACATTTTTGTTATCTATCATAATTTTTGTCTTTTTCAACGATGTGAAGGTGAAATAGTCCTCGCCGATGTTATCGACAGCGACTCATGGCGATTGTGGCCATCTGGAGACAGGAGGCTGATGAAAGACAAGCAAGTTTACCGGAACCTCAACAATGTCACTGCTGATGATTTAGCCACCGTCATTAAAAATTTCAGATGGATATCAGACCAACTGGACCTCATAGTAGCAGGAACTCCGTCGAAGGTGTGTTGCTCTTTTTAAAACTATCAAGGTAAAAGGTCGAAATGTCTCCGAGTTATGAGTCAAAAAGGAACAATGAAATGCTCCCTTAGGCGCACCGATGTACGTTTGTAACCTAGTCTAAAATGGGTCAGTTGCGCTGGTCCAGAATCGTGTTTTGACGCTTGATTCTTTTAGAGTAGCTAAAAATAAGAAGATTTGTCCAAACTGCAACTTTCTACGTTGAATATTAACCGAGATATCGTCCTTTGAAATGATGGGTTTTTGACGTCATCCACCGCGGTAGTGCATGATATGCTATGTGGTACCGCGGTGGATGACGTCATAAATCGAGTTTTTCAAGGCGCGATATCTCGGTTAATATTCAACGTAGAAAGTTGCTGCTTGGACCAATCTTCTTATTTTCAGTTGATATGCAAGATTAAAGCATCAAAACACGATTCTGTGACCACCGCAACTGACCCATTTGAATTTTGAGAGAGGAATCTACCAATGAGGCGACGGTAAAATAATAGGACACTAAGGTAATCTGGTCTGTGATACGCAATCCTACACAGCTTTCAAGTTTAACAATATGTATCGGCGGGTTCAAAGGAAAGGGCGTAGGGGGTTATGCCCCCCCCCTTTTCGCTCAAAAATAGGAGGAAGAAATAGAGAAGAGAGAAAGAAGGAAGGAACGGGGAGAAGAAATAGGAAGGACGCTTATATTTGATAATTATTCAGGACGGAAATGATTTAAACTGCTTACCAGATGCTGTAAAATTTCGAAATTTTTAAGGGGGCAGCTCCCTGCGGGTCGATTCTTGATATTTATAGACAAAGCTATAGTCAAAAAAGACAAAAGAAATATGGAGGGATCCTATTGGTGGAAGCGGGTGGTTGCAAGGGACAAAGGAGGTAGGTAATAGACTAACTAACGGCAACCCATGAGAGACCCGACAGTCAGTCCATAATTTTCTCCCTTAGTCTATGAGAGCCACCCGTTTTAACCAATAGGATCGCTTCTTGCTCTCTATGTTTTCTTTGTCCATCGCTTTGTCTATCAATTTCAATAATCGGCCCGCTGGCCCCCCTTTCGCCCACCAAATTCGAAGTGCCTGGATCCGCTCATTACATCATATTATAGGTTCATATAGGTTCTTTTCCTCTATGTTTTCGCGTTTCGTTGATTTGTGGCTATTATAAGTGATCTTTTCCCAAGGTTGTGATTGTAATGGCGTCTCCAGGAGATGCAGATCACACCAATGCAATCGCCAAGCACTGTTCAGCCCTGGGTTTACAAGCCGAGATCAGAGTATCCTCGGCTCACAAAACCACGACTGATACCCTGGATATTGTCGCAGAGTATGAAGGTAAGCTATGCACTCGTGCGTTTCTGAAAGAAAAGGAACGAGTAATATTTAAATTTAGGAACATCCGTTCGATACTTTGTGAGCCAAAAACTTGGTTACTGCCACTAAAACAAGGTCGATGGACCCTGGTCAGTCCGTTAGCAAGATGTTCTTTGGAATTTCCGATCCGGCGACGAATAAAGATGTTGCATGTGTGAGGAATTTCCGATTTGACTGTTGATTCTGATGCAAAAGTTCGCGAGAAACACAATGGTGCCACTGGTTTTCTCTGAAATCAACTCCCAAGCTCAAAAAAAGCTCTCAAGTATTTGCTCCCTATCTTTGCATGGAGAGTTTGTCTTGATGTAGAGGTGGACTCTCAGGATAGCGTGGGATATCCCCTCCATTTTGGCCTCAACTTGAGAGCTTTTTTTGAGCTTGGGGAGTTGATTTCAGAGAAAACCAGTGGCACCATCGTGTTTCTCGCGAACTTTTACACAAGAATCTACAGTCAAATCGCAAATTCCTCACACATGCAACATCTCCATTCCCCCGATTTGCTGTTTCACTACTTTTCAAACGCGTCCCCGCGATTTACATTGCTCCGAAAAATTGTGATAATTTGAAATGAATATTTTGAAGTTGCGATGTTTCTACGATTTATTGACGATGAAATCACTAGGATCGTCAACATCCGAGCGATTATCCCAACCATGTTGCGATTGTATGTCTGTGAAATCGAGTTCGATAAAATTGGAATCTTACCTGGATTTATCACGATTTTTTGTTCAGTAATACTGCGATGAATCGCCGTCGATAAAATCGCGATTTCATTTCAAATTCAAGCTATGAAAACGCAATTTTTTTATTCAATAATATCGGAATAAATTGACGTCGATGAAATCGCGATACATTCTCCAATCAAATCGCAACTTATCGCGATCGCTGCTACTTAGATACGTATCCTAAAAATCTCTTTTCTGGTAAAACAGGGTTAACTGTTGTTTTTTTGCATCGCCCCCCCCCCCCCGCAGCCTGTGAATACTTAGGTATTCGGGGTTGTCACGGTCTGGGAAAACTGGGAAATGTTAGGGAATTTTAAAGAATTAGGGAAAATGACGAAAATATCAGGGACAATTTGTTAAATCACCTTTATTTGCCTCCTAGAATAGGTTTGAGGTTTTGAACAACAAAGCCTGCGAACTATTTTCCATTATGTCCTCTGAACCATCATGAATTCAATTGTCAGGGAATTTCGCCAAAATGTGTCAGGGAAATCAGGGAAATGTAAGGGACTTTCATTTGCCAAATCCTGTGGCAACCCTAGGTATTGTTTTTTTATTTTCTCTATCTCTATTTGTCTTTTTAAAGTGAAAACTGCATTTTTGACTCATTTTCAGGTAGTTCCGAGCCTGTTGTATTCATTGCCGTTGCCGGGCGCAGTAACGGGCTAGGCCCTGTAATTGCCGGTAACACAGTTATGCCTGTCATAAATTGTCCTCCCCTCTCTTCGGGAGAAGCTAGTCATGATATCTGGTCATCTCTCAATACTCCCTCAGGTAACATTTACATTTACCACCTAAACCACGATATGCCAGTGTTTGCTTGCAATCTAAATTGTAGTCCACTATATAAATTGTTCACTAAAGCTTGTGGCTTTTATTTAACATTCTGAAAGTACCATTGATTTAGTGCATATATTTGGAGTCAAAATCCCGGACAAGCCAGCTTTTAAAAAGCCCAAAGACTCAATTGAATTTCCAACGACGGATATATTGTCGATTTAAGGTATTTGACGAGAGTCTTAGAAACCTGTGCTCGCTTATGATTAGTGCCGAATCACGTCATTCAGTTCGGCGCAAAATCGGGGCATTGCAAATTTTCGGAAAAGTTGAGCTTTTTGAACTGCATATCTCTCAGTTTCTGAGTTATTTGTCGCGTTTTTAATACGTGCATCGTACTCTACACGTCATTTACCTTTGATAAAAGTCGCGATAGTAAACCAATATAACAGTTGCTTCTTTTACGAAAATTTTACCATCACCATATCCTCTTAAAATAATCTGAAAGTTTGACTATCCGTAGGGGTGGGGGTGGGTATCAAAAGTCCTCCCCCCAACGCCCGTTTTTTTAAAAACCAATTCCTTTTCTATGAGCCATTTTTTAAAGTTTATTACTAAACATAGAATAATTTCGTCATTTCATCGGGCCTTTAAGAGCCTTTTTTGAATAATTTCAGCATATCAATATTAATGAAGAATTGCTACCATCATGTTTCAGGTCTTGGTTGCACGACTGTCCGATACCCTGAGGCCGCTGCTCAAGCCGCAGCCAGCATCCATGCTCTTTCGAACCATGCTATTTGGTCTAGACTACGAGTTAAGCAATTGTCAAATTTCATAAAACTTAAACAGGTTGATAAAGAATCCAGAAACCAAAGCTGAACGCCGATTGGCTCTTATTTTTGAACTGTTTTTAACCTAAGCATGAGGTTTATCAGCGAGGCCTTGCTGTATTTGTCACATATAGCTTGAAGCTTTGAATTGTATTAAACCTCTGGATTATCTAAAGTGCAATGCAAGTATCCCGTTTTTCATCAATTTTTGTGGCCTTTTTCAATGAGTCAATAAGTACCCTTATGTTTTGTACATGTTATAATCAATACCTTTTTTTACATAATTAATAAATATATATTTTTATTGTTTCTGGATGTAAGATGATTGACACTCTCATGCAGAATTTATCGTGAATTTACTTGAATTTGATTCGCCTGTTTGTCAAGGTGTAAAGTCGAATTTCAATTGTGAGTTTGGTTAAAAGCCAATCTTGTACCAATTAAGAACCGATTGTCAGATTTTGGTTACTACCGTCTTCGTAATGAGTAGACCATGACAAAAGTTGCGATGTGTAATAAGACCAATCTAAAAAAATAGTAGGTACTCTATGGACTTCTAAATCCCCTTCAAGCGTTTGAGTAGGCAAACAAGTGCTGGTGTCTTGTTGATTAAGTTGCCGCCACTTGTAAATGAAGGCGTTTCCAAGTTGCGCGGACCATTAGTAAAGTTGTTTACAACAACAGGAAGTAAAAAAGCGTTTTTATTAAGGGCTGCGTCATATCTCATGATAGATCTCTAACGGTCAATTTTGAAAAGCACACCGTCGGATTTAACTACGGAAAGTTTCTCTACGATATTCAATTCGAAAAAAAAAAAAATTCTTTTTACAAGTCGGATTTTGGTGGGAGCTTTTCGTTGAGGTAAAAGTTCACAACGTTGCAATGCACTTACGCCTCTCTGGCTCTCACCCCGTCTTGAAATAAAATGATATATCGTAGTCTGCGGATTTAATTTCGTGAAAGTCTATGATGATATTATCCTCTCATGTCTAATCTTATATAAAAATAGCGACTTTAATTTGACCAAATTTTAAGATGATCCGAGCTCTAAGCTGAAGCAGTCACTGATTCGACGTGTTTCTCAACATTTATGTCTGCGCTGACGTTTAATGCAAGATTTTCGGAAACGAGATCTATTTCTTTGAAACTCAGGAGTCTGTAATTGAGTTTATCCTGACTTGCCGAAAACGAGAATATAAATGTTTTTCATAGGTGACCATGCCACCTCTTTCGCTTAGCCTTCAATTATTTTGCTTGGTCATCGATGTATCGGCAATCGGCATCCATAATGAAACTAAGCCAGCGCATCTCCCCACGTGACGCCGAAATCTTCAAACGTAATGCAATCTCACATCGTAGACCCATAACTTGAGAGCGAACTTCAGCGAGTATCACCTTGCCATTTGCAAGAGAATTCATCCCAATCTCCGAACGATAGCACGAGTGGCACAACATTGACCGCACACCTTGCGATGAGGAATTTTTTCCTGGCTCTTTTGAAAACAATATGTATGTCATTAAAAAAAAAAAAGAATTTGATTAAAAAAAAAAAAATTGTGATAAAAAAAAAATTTGATTAAAAAAAAAAAAAAATTTGATTCNAAAAAAAAAAAAAAAAAATGTATGTCATTAATTTCCATAGGCAATAATAGGCATGCAGGTAGGTGATCAGAGAGGAGATCAGGAGTGCCAGATGCCTGATGATCTCCGGAAGGATAGTGGGCAATGCTGCCGAGCCAAGGAAGAACGCCGTATGAACATTCGAGAGTTGCCAAATTTCCTTCGATAAAATGTTCATTTCCTAGGAAAGTTGTGAATATTTTCCCTTGAAATTTTCAGGACTTTTCGGTGGAACTGCGAGCAAAAGTATCTGAACAATTGGAAGAAAAATATTCAAAAATGTTCTTCAAAATTAGTGATTTGTCAAAGGAAATTTGGCATCGCCTGAAGGTTCATACGGCGTTCTTCCGTAGCATGGCGGAATGGCGATTGGGCGTCGCAGAGCGCGAGGCTGCGCTATGTGAAAGCGGCTTGATGCATGTTTGCAGATAAGTGCTTTCATTTTTGAGGCTGAAATAGTGGTTCCTTTTTGAAAAATGTGAGTAAAAAACAGAGGGTTTACAAAAATCAAACATATTTTTCTTAACATTTACCCGATGTATATTGTATTGAGATAGTGTACACACGGGTTTCCCCCATTTTTTTTCTTTCAAAAATACCTTTGTAGATTTACCATTTCTACTCGATGGATCTATTTTTTGAGTTCAAAGCCAGCGTATGAATACATTTTTTTACATACATGCATGAAAGTCACTCCTACGATGCACTTTGGTGTTCTGCGACACTCAGACTCCACGCCTATCTTCCCAAAGATTATCGGGCAACTAACAACGGGACATCTCTTCGTCAAGGCCCTGCCGCCATCCCTTCATGGGGCGTCCCGTTGCCTTTTCTTAGGTGGTACCCAATCCAAAACTTTTTTGGGCAACCCCCAAGTAGCATGGATTGCAATTTCATTACAATGGATTGTGAGTTGATTGCAATTTTTGCTTGTTGCCTATACTTCATTTGAAGGCGCTTAAAAAGTTGCAATTTTATTGCAATAAGTTTGCAAGAAATGTA